ATCTACGCCAACTTGTGATCACGATGTAGAAAACTCTGCATATGTGGTACATTTCACTTCAGAAAGGAACACGACTCTCACTTTAGCTCCAGTGCTCTAGGTTTCCTTTGCATTTAATCATCCCAGATCCAATCTTCTCCCCGAATTTCCTGCTTTTTTAGAGAAACCAAAGCCTGAGACCTCCTCTTTCCCTCCATGCTTATCTTGACTTTTCATTCCAAGTACTGAATGAAATGTGCCACATTACATGGGCCATGTCAGTCTGAAAACAAAAGTGTGCCGGTGAATAGGTGGTGAATCTGCAGCGTTAACTTGGTTTTAAGTTTGCTTATCCTTTTTAAAATCATACCCCATGGAGCTAGAGAAGAAGCAGGGCTTGCAGTACAAGCTCTTCCAAGTGCTACTGGCTACTGAGATAGTCTGTGTCCTCACTGCCAGAATAGTCCCACGTACTCTTAATCCCACCTTCTTCAAGGGGCTTTATTCCAGGAATTACATGTCTTACCTTTCTCTACAAATATCTACTGTAGAGAAAGTACAGTATTCTACTGGATTAATCTACTGGATAATTTTCTCAGCTCCTATATAGAGACAGTATTTCTTTTTTACAAAATAAGCATCTCCCCTCACTATCAGTAGTCACAGCTGCCTCCTTCCCCCATCCACTTCTCTACCATTGCAATTCTTTAATAAGAAGTCCCAGTTCACTGCCACATTGCCTCCACTCTCTTTTAATCCTTGCAGTCTGATAAAAACTACATGGACAATAGGCTGATAAAACCACTTGTACAAGTTTTCTTATGAGAGTGCGAATATAGAATAGCCCTGAACTCACTATTCTCTTCCCTCTTGAGCCTCTCACCTATTCCTCCCCTTTCCCACTTGCTTTCTCCCTGTGTATAGATACTTACCAAGGCTATCTACCTATCTGTATGTTCTCTCTTTCTGTGTGTGTGTGTTCTTATATATTATTTCTCTTCTTTTCCAAATGTTCTTCTAAAAGCTACTCGAATAGTTTCACCTATCTTTCTCTTCAGAAGAGTTTATGAAAATCCTAACATGTAATGAGTTTTTGTGTTGTGGTAGGTACTTCACATATGTTATCTCATTTAATTTTTAAAACAACCTTACTAGTCCCATTTTATGTTGGAGATATTTGAGGCCTAGAGAAGTTAGGTGATTTGTACAAGCTCACACAGTCAGCAAAGGAAAAGTGCCTGGATGTGAGAACTCAGGCAGTCTGACTCCTAAAGAAGCCCTCTCCACTGTTATGCTCTACTGCTCAGCAAGGCCAGGCTCCCTCAGGAAGCTACCCCCGATGACTCTGTGACATCTTTATGACACTCACATTTTGCTCTATGCTGCGGTCATTTGTGCCCCCAGCACAAACACGTGTGCACACCAGGCAGCTCTGGTTACTGATACACACATACATACACAACCTTACTGCACTATCAATTCTGGGAGAAAGAGACTGCATTTGTCGATTTCACACACCTTCTAAGGTTATCCTGGGACAGTGCATAGTAGACAGCCAGTAAAACAGCTGCCCAATTCAATAGAAAAGTAATGGTCTATAAAGGTAGGTTCTCCCAGCACGTCCCAGCACCCTGTTTATTTCTAGATATGACAGGAGTGCAGAAAATGAAGAAAACAAACCCCAGTGTGTTACAGTGTACTAAATGGCTAGGCACTCTGAATAAGGTAGCTCAGGATCTATTTATTTTCAAGGCTATAAAAGAAAAGGCAGAATAAGCCAAAGTACATTATAGATCAAAATCCTGGGTCTGTGGCAACAGTAAGTTCTTAATAAAGGCAAAGTTATTAAGCATGAACTTCTGTTTTATTTACTTTGATAGGACAAAAACCTCATATTTCAAAATAACTATCCAACACCAGATTGAGACATTCTCCCTGGGAGGTGTGACTGATTTCAATTTTAACTTCAGTAATACAGTAGATGAGTTACTATCCATGTTAAAAAAAAAAAAAAGACCTGTACATTTCCAGATGATTTTTATCTCCATGCAGATATCTTGTTTTACCCCTACCAAATAATTTTAATTAATGGCATTATGTTAAATTTAAAATTTAATAATTTATATAAAAAAAGAGGAAAGTAAGCATTGATTTGGTCTGATGGACATTGTTGAAAATTTCTCCTATGTACACCATGGAATACTATGCAGCCATAAAGAAAGATGGAGACTTTACATCCTTCATGTTTACACGGAGGGAGCTGGAAAATGTTCTTCTTAGCAAAGTATCACAAGAATGGAAGAAAAAGTATCCAATGTACACACCCGTATTATGAAACTAATTTATACCTTTTATATGTAAGCTATAACCTAATAACAGCCTAAGAATACGGGGAGGGGGGAGGGAGAGAGGAGGGGGGAATGGGTGGAGGGAGGGGGATTGGAGGTATCACTTCTGAGGTTTATCTTACAAGGGTACAAGTGAATCTTTCTAAGAGTAGAATGTGAACGTTTTAAAATAATAACTAAGAAAATGACATGAAGGCTATGTTAACCAGTTTGATGGAGATTTTGTGTGAAAACCCCACACTGTACCCCAGAAGTGCATTAATGTACATAGTTACCATTCAATAAAAAAAAGAAAAAAAAAAGAAAATTTCTCCTTTGTTATAACTTTCTTCAGAATAATTCATAGTGGCAAATAAATAATCACATAGGCCCAGCCGTGTAACCAACCGAGGATTTTTTTTTTGCATGCAGATAAACCATCTGTTATGTCACTAAGTCTTGCCTTTGAGCCAAATCAAGCAGAAACTTTCCCTGGATTTTAAGATAAATGTTATCTTGGTTTGGCCACATGTGGGGCTCAGAAATGGATGTGGGGCCAGAAGAGAAGAAGCAAAGGAAAATCTGCTGACTCTTATGGGCTGGACTTGAATGCCATTGAAGTTTCGCTCTTTACATACACCCCTAAAACTTAACCATCATCTAAATCAGAAAAGGGGTTTTCTTGTGAGCAGGTTAAATCCAAGTTCTGTGGTCACCCACACTGGATTTCTTTTACTCACCCTTCTTCTGTGATTCCCCCCAAATGCACTGTATCCCAATGTCCTGTCTCAAGTCTACTCTAGGATTTGTCTCTTATCACATTCACCATCAACCATAGCTTAAACTGTGATTCATAGTAGTTGGTTCCTGAGCCCTCAGGCTCTAATCAGGGGCTTTCTCTGTTTCTGCATCCTTAACTTCTGGGAACAATATGTTGTTTAGGGTAGACACATTGTACAGGAACAACATCTTTCAATGTTAGTTTTTGGTTATTTATACATTAAACAGGTTAGTTAGAAGTAATCTGACACAATGGATAAATAAGGGGGAAGAGAATTTAAATATTTAATAATATTTTGTGTCGTTTTCACTTACGAATTCAAATGTAGATGTCATTATCAAAAGGCTTTCGAAAACTGCTTTAAGAACAAATAATGTGGAGATCAAAAATGTCCATCTACCAGGTTGATTTTTTTTTCAGTTATTTTGTGGGTTAGGATAAAATTTCTAGTAACTAAATCACACAGAGATTCCCAAACTGCTGCCCCTAAAACAACGTAGAGGAAATAATGTAATACTCTGGAAAACTGTATTGATAGAGGTGACAGAAAAGACTATGAGAATGGCAAAAACAGTATTTCTAATTAACATGATACAATAAATCATTCTAAATATACAAGCTAAGTTAATACATTATTAGCAGACATTTAACATTTTCTTACAAATCACTAAAAAATGTATTCCAAGTAGTCAAAACACTTTTCATGGATCATTTCATCAGGAGATAAGGAATCTGCAAATTGACATACTTATTAAATAAAATAATGAGTGACTTATAAATATTGACTAAATATTAATTAAATATTAGCATTAGAAATATCTGTCTACTAATCCATTGAGTAAACATTTATTAAGCTACTATGTCCACATCAGTTAAATAGTAATCAAAGAGTTTTACGCTAAAAAATCTACTTTCCACTGGAAAGTAAAATTTTTTAACTTTTAGAAACAAAATTTCAAACATATAGAAAAGTAGAAAAATAACATAACAAACACCTGTATAATCTCCCTCTAGATTCAATAGTTATTAACATTTTCCCAAAGTTGTTTTACATATCTATATAACTGTGGCAAACTATTTGAAAAAAAATTACAGTTGTATAACACTTCACTCCTTAATATTTCACTGTGCAAGTACAAAGATAAAAACATTCTCTTACATAACTATAATATTACTATCATTCCTATCAAAAATAACAATTCCTTAAGAAAGTATATTTATAGTCCACACATGAATCTCCACAGTTATTCAAAATACATCTTTCACCTGCATTTTCTTATAATGATAAGACCTTATTTAAAGTCTTGAGACTGCTTTCTAGCCTTCTTTGCTTTTATGAGAAATGCGACTTTTTGAAGTGGCCAGGCCAGTCTCCAGTTGTCACATAGAAAGTCCCACATTCTGGATTATCTACTTGTTTTCTCATAAGATCATTTACCTTATTCCCCTATCCCAATATCTTATAAAATGGATATTAGATATAAGATCTGGACTAAGTTGAAATTAAATGTTTGATAGGTGCTGCTGTGTATTGAATACTCTAGTATATTAAGAGTGTAGAGTGGTTGGTTGTTCCAACACTAGTGATGGAATTTGATCACTTGGTTAAGGTAATGACCTCAAGTTTGTGATTAGGAAAGAAGTTATGTGGTCACACTTTAGTCTCTACAAAACCACCTATGCCTTATTAACTTTTCACCTAATGATTTTGAGCATCTCTTAAAAATTTTTGCTTGATCACTATGTCATTAGGGGTTGTAAAATAAAATTTGCATTTCTATTCACCCTCTCCTGTGATCAATTTCTAACTTTTTCCAATTAATATTTAAAAGGCTAAAAGTCCTAAATTTTAAGTATCATAGTATATTTGTAATGGGGAAGTCCTAAAGTTGGATTTTCTTTCCTGTTTTCAGCAAAATGGGAAGCCACATATTTATGAAAAGCAAATCGTTGAGTCCTTCGAAGAAGCACCTCTTCATGTGATGGTTTTCACTTACTTGGGATATGGAATTGGAACCCTGTTTGGCTACCTCAGAGACTTTTTGAGAAACTATGGGATAGAAAAATGCAATGCAGCTGTAGAGCGAGAAGAACAAAAAGTACGTATGTGCAGCTTCCTGGGTCTGTGCCAATGCCTGACACTCTCTAAAGTGTTCTCCAAGTGGTGATGCAGGTTCTGTTATGGAGAGAATGAGCTACTCAAGAACTGTTTAGGGTAAATTCTATTTATCTCCACCCCCTCACCCCCATCCTCTGTGTCATGGACTGGTAGTCTATAAACATTTATTAAGCAGCTACTATTTGCCAGATACTGAACTAAGGATTTTCCCATACACTATAATATTTAATTTTTTAACAATACCATGAGGTAGATATTAAAATACCATTTTAAAGAGGAAAATATAAAAATATAAGAGCAAGGACACCTAGGTGGGACTGTACTCTGGTCTTCTAGTTGTAAGTTGGGTATTATTTATACTCTATCCTGAAACAGAGAAGTGTATTTGAGTGAACTGGGACATATTTATTTCATTTAGGTCAGGTTTTGTCAACTTTGACACTACTGATATTTTGGACTGGATAATTCTTTGTTGTGGGCATTATAGGAATTTTAACATCATCCCTCACTGCTACTCCTCAGACCACCCATTAGCACCTACACACATATCTGTGACGACTAAAAATGTCTCCAGACATTGTCAAATGTCTCATGGGGTGTAAAATAACTGATGGTTTAGAACCATTCCTCTAAGTCCTTTTGACAGTTAGCCTATGAAACTATCTATGAAACTACCTTATGAATGTTTTACAACATTGCTCTCTCTGTCTCTCTTTTTTTCCTTTTGGCACAGTGCTGGAGGACAACCTGGAAAATACTTAGAGATCTGCAAAGATCCTATATTATATTAACAAATTTTCTAAGTTGGTTCAAAGAATCTATAATGTCATCAATCTATTTTTTTCCAAAAATTTCTTTGAATACTACGAATACAGGCATGGGTCATTTCATAATGATAGAGCCTTGAGGACGTTTAAACAAAGAACATAGGTGAGACATGACATTCAGTGTATGAGACAACCTCAAATTCTATGACATAGCAGCTAGTACTCATGGTGAAATACTTATGACAGTGACACACTCATGAACAAATTACACAGAATACATATTTTGGAATTGCCTTAAGCCAAGAGAATCACCTGCAGAAAAAAAAAAAAATCAAATCCCACTTTATTATTTTAGCGCCCTAAACTTTAGTTAAGTATTTGAGCATAGGGTCTATACCAAGTAATGGATACTAATATTTATAGAAGGAGAAATCTCCTACTATCAGACATTACAAAGTCTGGTGCACAAACAGACTCATGAGCAAATCACATACTAAACAGGATATAGGGAGAGGGTGATGTGGGTCACAAGGATCTTGCCCTATGACTTCCTTAAGGAGTCAGGGGGCCATGATGCTGGAGTTCAAGTGGTGAGCAGAAGTTTGCAAAGTAAGTGAGGATACAAAGGATAACAAAAGAGGGTGCCGCTTGTGCCAAGGCATGCATTCATTCATTAATCAAGTGAGATTCCTTTTAAACATATATGTTGAGCCAGGTACTGTGCTAGGATCTGCGGATATAAGATTAACCAAAATAGACACAGTTCCTGCCCCCAAAAACCTAATAATAAAAAAACAATAGAATTTGAGAAGGCATAGTAGTTGTAAATAGATTACACCATGAGAGCAAAGAGAAATACCTAACCTGGGACTTGGTATTTAATGAAAGTTTCTGGGATAAAAAGAAAATTAAAGTGAAAAGTGAAAGCTGAAGAGTAAGTAGGAAGGCAAAAGTGAGTCAAGATCAGGAGTCTTTAGGAAAAGGGAACTCTAGAGGTAAGAGAAAGCATTGTGCATTCAAGGAACCAAGGAATTCTAATAACTAAAGCATTGTGAATGAGAGTGGGAGTATGTGGGGAGAAAGACTGCTGGACTATAATGGGTTTTTATAAGCCCTGGGCATTTATTGTAAGAACAATGGGAAAGCACTGATGGATTTCAGGCAAAGGCATGCACATTTGAAGATTAGAAAGACCATTTCTCTGCCCTGTGAGAAATGGATTGCAGAAAGATAATACTGAGACCAAATAAATAAATAAGTAAATAAAATTAACAGGCTAATGCAGATATACAGGTTAAAGAAATTCTGGATGAGATAGTTGGGCTTGGACTGGAATAGTGACAATAGGGGAGGTGATAAGAGATAAGGCCAGAGATGTTTAAGAGGTGGAGTTAGAGATGAAATTAGGAAGATGGACAAATCAAAGACCACACCTGGCTTTGGGTCTTGGGTGTCTGGGTAGTACAGGTAGAAGGTGGTATCATTCATGGGGGTGGAGAATAGAGGAGAAAGCACTGGTTTGAGGGGAAATATGGTCAATTCAGTGTTGCATAAATCAAGTTTGAAGAACTTCAGCTAAACTTAGAGATCTAGACTTTCAGAGAAAAGGTTCAGAGGGACGGTGTGGCATCTTCAGCACATCTTCAGCTTATCAACATATATCAGAGGCATACAGTAGACTAGCTCTAACAGGGAAGGGTCACAGAGGAAAAAAATAGAAGGGGGCATAGGAGAGGAGGAGAAAAAAATAAAGAATGTCTAAGAATTTAATAGATGGCAGAGATGGACTTTCAATTTTAAGACCAGAAGTAAAGTGACAAGAAAGTTTGCAATAGTGTAAGAAAGAGATTGTGTTTGAACTAGAAAACAGGTAAATGGAATGAAAAAGGAACTACAGTAATTACGGAGCTATTTAAGAGCCATCGACAATTTTTGGTGGCTCACTGTATCGTTTTAACCCTCCAGGTCTAGTCTTTTCTTAACCAATTTCTATATTCCATCTAGAAAATAAAAACCAAAACAACACTCACAACAAGTTGTTTCTCAGGAAGCCTACGCTGAGATGGTGGCCTGAATGTAAGAAGGTTCTCAGGATGTACACCTAGGATCCATGCCTGTGCAGCAAAGGAGAAGACAACAAGGGGTGGGAAAGAAGGTGGGGGCAGAAAGGGGATGGAGTGAATTGAGGTGGCATAGACCAGCAAAACCCTCAACTAATCCAAACAGGGAGCTCTGGAGGTGGGAGTGCCCTTCTGAATCATTCTGAACTGGGGCAAGTGGACTGGATCTTTAGAATTCTGGACTGCTGCCACCAGGGATCTTGGTTAAAAAACATCCTTTGAGGCTCAGGCAATCCTCAGAGACTTGCAAGCCTCCAGCACTCCCAGCAGAGAGGGGTATAGGTGCTTCAGTCCAAAATGATGGGCTAAGGACACACTGTACTTAACAGCTGCCCCTCTGGGTATAAGAACCAACCTTGAACCACCCCATAGGAGGAAAGCATTGTGTTAAAGAAAACAATAATTGACATTTCTTTACAACGTAAATGATTTCCATCCTGTCTGATCTCCAGGAAGTAAATAGTATCAGTCACTCACCTTGGAAGGCATTCCTTTCCTATGCCATACCTTTAACTGGAGTCCCTTGAAAGATCTATAGCCTTTCAGAGTAACAGGTTCCAATTAACTGCTGTCACTTTATTTAATTATTTTTTGATGGACATGGTCATTCCACACCATACTATGGATTGATCCTTTATCCTTTTAATACCTCCCTACCCCATAATTCTGACAGTAACTTGCTTTGGGTAAATAAGTTCCCTGAGGCACATTTTGAAGTATCTAGCTCAAAACTTGGAATATACTGCTTTCCTTGACTACCCTGGTTCTTTATAGCATAAATGAGCATAACTCTATTTTAAAAGCTGGTCACTGGGAGTGTGGAACATATTTTCCCACAAGGCAAACCAGCTATGAGAAAAACGACACCAGAAAAGAGAGTATTTTCATGAAGTGGGGATGGAAAAGAATAATTACATTTTTTATAAAGATCACGAAGGGATGATCTTATCTCCATTTTTACTCTACTTTCTTTCTTTTTCTTATCAAATACAGTCGAACCTCCATAGCTGACCACCTCCTTAAGTTGACCTAATTTTCATAGACCAGACATGCACCACATGAACACATCAGCACAAAGTAGGCCTAGTCCTTATGTTGACCACCTCCATAAGTAGGTTGACAGTTTGTTACAGTCCCTTGGGTAGTCAAATTACAGAGGTTCTACGGTGTAAAAATTTATTAATTCAATTTCCCTTTTTTCCTTCATTATGATGACTTCTCTCATACCAAACCATTCAAACTAAAGCATTGCCTCAAATTTACAAGCTTCATTTTTTTTTTCTTTTTGACTTTCTAGCCCACATACCCTGAAATTGACTCCAAAACATAAAGGCTCTGATAATCCACTTTATCTGTGTCACTGAGTATTAACTAAATGAACACTAAAAAAAACAGCCCCCTCCCCCACATGTTCAGGGCACCTGGTACCTCAAATAGACACTAACAATCCCTTAGCAGAAAAAAGAATAGATACAAGATTGAAATGTTTTGCTTCAATTCACCATTTAACTCTTCTTTTAGGGGCCATGGGTTTTTTTTTAAATCAACAACATCAGAGTTGAACCACAAATTCTCAAATACCTCTGGATAAATCACTTTCTCAATAATGTAATAGCCCAGTTTTGCAAAATCTGGAAGAGCCTATCAGCAAATATAATCAATTAATGTCAAGTATCATCAGAGACTTAAAAACCTTTAAACACAGCCTGTCTTACAGGTTCACATTTCTCAGGTCTGTACCGTCCCAGTATCATACAGGTTCTGCAAATCCCAATAGAACACGGCATCAGTTCGGTATAAAACAGTTTAGTTGCAATTCTGGATTCGCATTAAATCCAGTAGTCCCTACCACCTCAGCTTGTAAATCCCAGGTATCTGTGGCCCAGCCCAGAGATATTTTTACTCCTACCTGAAACAAAGAGGGTTCAGCAAGTTGTAGCTGTAGTATATTTTAAGACAAATATCTAAATGTTTGCATAAATTCACACTTGTTCTTTGGCATTCACATTTGCATACTGATGCAACCACAGCTGAAACTTTCTCCTGAGTAAGGATGGGGTTCCTTAAGGTCTCTGGGTGTGAGATAATGGTCC